CAGTGGGAGTGGAGAAGGAACAAAGAAATCCGTGACTGGTTGTGATCAGTTAATTGTAAAGATCACTGCACTCAGACAAGCCAAGGTCTATCTTATTTATTATGTTGTTTAGGTTTTCACTGTCTTTTCTCTATCCACTGGACCTGTCTTGGCCTGAGAGAGATGTGTCAATGTCTCTTATTTTTGTTGTTTTTTATTATGAGCTGAGCATTATGATTAATCCACTGCTTTGCATTTGAGGGTAAATGATGCATTTATTTCTGCTAAAACATGTCTAGGTTCTAATTCAGTGACTGACACTACTAGCTTTATGCCGTTAGGCAAATACTTTCAGCCTTCAAAGTCTTCTCTGTAAAATGAGGCAAGTTGTGGAATTTGTTTTTCATCTAATAGTTTATCAATTCATTAAAAGTGCTTTTGAAATAATACCCTTGGCTCGGCGCCTATAGCTCAACCGGCTAAGGCGCCAGCCACATACACCTAAGGTGGCGGGTTCAAATCCCCAGCCCGGACCCGCCAAACAACAATGACGGCCGCAACCAAAAAATAGCCGGGCGTTGTGGCGGGCGCCTGTGGTCCCAGCTACTTGGGAGGCGGAGGCAGGATTGTCGCTTGAGCCCAGGAGTTGGAGGTTGCTGTGAGCTGTAATGCCACGGCACTCTACCCAGGGGGACAGCTTGAGGCTCTGTCTCAAAAAAAAAAAAAAAAAAAGAAATAATACCCTTCTAAGCCCCATTGTTACTGACTTAAATAATTGCAATAATAATATAGTAGAACCTCTATAGTTGACCACCTCCCTACATTGGCCACCTCCTTAAGTTGACCTAATTTTCATGAATCAGGCATGCACCACATGGAAGTCTCAGTACAGTAGACCTTGTTCCTTATGTTGATCAGTTGTTACAGTTCCTTGAGTGGTCACTTACAAAGCTTCTACTGTAGTTATGTTTTGAGTGTTTATTGCATGCTCGGTTCTATGCTTAGCACATACATGGCTCATTGCATCCTGGCACATTCCTTTTCATTTTTCCTCAAATTCTAGAATTTTGAACTCTTTGATTCAATTGGCAGTGCCTACTTGCATTTTGTTGGATGCTACTTTTAACTTATATCAAAACCAACCATCAGAGAGAACGTAGTAGTCAAGGGAGCAAGTAGCTAACATTTATTTCTGTTAGTTTCCAGGTTTGGCAGGAAACAAGACCAGAATGAGATAAGGAGCCTGGCCTTTACAAGGGGGTGTGATTGGACTCTTGGACAAAGAAGAACAGAGCTGTTTTCCTGGCTAGCTATTTTCATCCCAGGTTTATACAAGTGCTCCTAAAGCAGTAAAAAAATAAATATTGTAGCCAAAGATTCATTGAGGTAGATAGTAATTGCATATTAAAAATGAATGTCTAGTTCTAAGTAATAAAATAATCTCACCCTGCCTCAGATTAATGAATATTATACCTGCCTCTTCAGATAAAGATACTTTGTGTTGTTCCTAAATTCACTTATCCATCTGGCAAAAAAAAAAAAGTGTTTAGTTCTAAGTAATAAAATGGTTTCACCCTGACTCAGATTAATAAATATTATACCTGCCTCTTCAGATAAAGATACTTTGTGTTGTTTCTAAATTCCCTTATCCGTCTGGTAAAACAAAGAAACAAACGAAAGGAACATTCTTATCTCCTATTATATCAGGAGTGATAAATACATGATACCAGTGTCACACTACCACCTTCTGTGCCCACAGCAGAGAATCAGTCATTAATCAACTTGTACTCTTTCTTGACAATCAGCCTCACAATCCTCTTTTCTATTTTTTTTTGGAGACAGAGTCTCACTCAGTTACCTTTGGTAGAGTGCTATGGTGTCATAGCCCACAGCAACTTCAAACAAGTGAGCCTTTTTTTTTTTGGCAGCACCTGTAGCTCAGTGGGTAGGGCTCTGGTCCTATATACCACGGGTGGCGGGCTCAAACCCGGCCCTGGCCAGCTAAAACAGCAATGACAACTGCAACAAAAAAGCTGAGCATTGTGGCTGGGTGCCTGTAGTCCCAGCTACTTGGGAGGCTGTGGCAAGAGAATTGCTTAAGCCCAAGAGTTGGAAGTTGCTGTGAGCTATGATGCCACCACACTCTACCAAGAGTGAAAAAGTGAGACTCTGTCTCAAAAAAAAAAAAAAAAAAAAGCAAAACAAGTGAGCCTTTTGCTTTAGCCTCCCAAGTAGCTGGGACTATAGGCGCCTACCCCAACACTTGGCTATTTTTTTAGAGATGGGGGTCTCACTCTTGCTCAGGCTGGTTTTGAACTCCTGAGCTCAATCTACCCGCCTTGGTCTCTGATGTGCTAGGAATACAGCACCTGGCTCCCTCACAGTCCTTTTTTGACATGGCATCCAAGTCCAAGACTGAAATTAGATGCTGGGATAAAATCCGTTGCCACTCTGGGTTAGGCACTCTGGAGGCAAAGATGAAGATGTGGAATTCAGTCTAGTGCAGGCGCAGGAACAGAAAGAGCAACTGCAGTGCAGGTAGGTCAGAGCTATGGCAGGGAGGAGCTGCTGCTGCCTAACTTAAAGACTGGTAAATGGGGGTGGCACCTGTGGCTCAAAGGAGAAGGGTGCTGGCCCCATATGCCGGAGGTGGCGGGTTCAAACCCAGCCCTGGCCAAAAACTGCAATAAAAAAGTGGTAAATGGAATTCCTTCGATGGCATGAGGATGCCCAACTCACTTAATTTCCTCAGACCATGTTTCCTGTCAGTGACTTTTGGTTCACCTGCTCAATACAGCGTGCAGGTATGTATAGAAGGTCTGCTTCAGCAGTTCTCAAGTCACAGATGTGCTGTGTCCAAGGGATCCTTTGCTACAAAATATAGAGGCTTGATATAAACAATAGCTAAAAGGCATAAGATGACATCATGCTATGTGATTGTACAATGTCTGTGTTTTGGTGCATGGAAGAATGTAGGCATGGCCAGGTTCGTAGCAACCCTTACTCTTTCCTAGTCAGAGAAGTAACCATATGAGCCATCTGTTCACATGCCCTGAGTTGTGTTTCAAAAGAACACAGGTGTATCTCTGTTTGGCTTAGCATTACATTTTATTTTCACTTCAAAGTGTAGAGAATCTGTTTTAGTGCTCTTGCCATTAGTCTAATTTGCTGGTTTAAAGTAGGTATTAATTAAACATCCAAACTGGCATGGCTAGGAGACACTAGGGTAATTAGAAGGCGCTAATTGGAGATACCTAAAAATATTTTGAGGCACTATATTCTGGACTCTTTTAAGTGTACTAGACACAATATGGAACAACAGTCCTTTCACTTCAAGGGCTTGTAACATAGATGCCTAGGAGGGAACAATAATTAGGGAATTATTTACAACATTTCCTCCAGAGTATGTTGCCATGATGATTTTGCAGCATTTACTATAGAGAAAGGAACAGACACAGTATGGAAAGGAAGAGAATGAATAGAACACAGAAAGAAAATAGTGGACAAGGCTTTGTAGATAGCTCATAAACCCTGGAGCCCAACTTCTCTCTGAAACTGGCTCTCTGACTTGCATATGTTCTACTAGGCAAAATAGTTCTAAGAAAAGATAGCCGAGGACCAGAGAGATTTTTTCTTGCTAAACCTTTGTTATGACCCAAGCCATTATTAACAAATAATGCAAGTAGTCCAAGAAGAGAAGTGATACCATCAGAACAACAATCTCGGAATATGAGGAATGACATGCAGATTGGCAATGTGGCTTTATGAAGAATTGAGCTATTGGTTGGGTGCAGTAGCTCACTCCTATAATCCAAGCACTTTGGGGGACACAGGAGGGAGGAATGCTTGAGGCCAGGAGTTTGAGACCAGCCAGACCCTATGTCTTACAAAAAGAAAAAAGAAAAAAGAAAAAAAAGTTGAGCTATTGACTGTCAGTAAAATGTGCTGATTCATCCAGGTTCTATAACCCAAATTGTAGGTACAATTTGCAACTAAGTTTTTCTTTTTGTACATACTAGCTGAATGCATCACCAAACCTCTAATCTCTGTACCTTACTATTTTGTTTGGTTCATAAGCACCACATTTTATTAAGTAATCCAGGAGGGATTCTGTAGGCACATAGCATAAATGAACTTGAACTTTTAAGAAGTTAGATCTGATTGCATTAGGAACTCAATAGAGAAATACTTTAAAGTCACCGCTTCTTTAGGTAATAATAATGAGGTGATACTTTTTTACTTAGGACTTCAGGTATCTTAGTGATACTGTAACAGCAGCACAAGAAGTTAAGTGGCAGTCAAGTGCTATTATCCTGACTCTACAGGGACTGATTTGTCTGTGGCATGTGCAGGAGGATGCTCAAAGATCCAGTTTCCAGGGAGTTTTCAGACTTGGAGGATTTACACTGTGTTGTAAGATTGAGGCGCTCTTCACTTCCCCTCACCACAGGTGGGGGACAGTAATCTGCCTGTGAACACACCGCCTCTTCTCTCCAGGTAACCCCGAGGTCTGCACCACGCGGGAAGAAATACTGATCCCCATCTCAAAGGCCATTTAATCCAAATTCCTCGTCTTACGAAGAGCTCAAAAGGGTGAAATGATTTGGTCCAAGTCAGGTGGCTAATTCCCGAATCTGTTCTTTTACTCCCACTTCTCCTGCATTCCAGAAATCCAGGAATGCGTGAGAAGTTCTTCTATGAGATCGGCCAGAAAAGCTTTCTGAGGGAGTTTGGAACCCCTTTCCTCTCCAGCTCCTGGTGGAGAAAAGGGTGGTTAACCTGCATTCCGAGTCAGCACGTTGCTCACACCAGCTCCGGTGTCCCGGAGCACCGACAGGCGGCGGCGCGGCGCGGGGGAGGCGACTGCTCCGCCCCGGCGCAGGCGGGCGCGCTCCATACTGGCAACCGAGCGGCGAGCGCAGGACTCGGCTGGCGGCCGGCGGCGGGCGGCGGGCGGGGAAGGCGCGGGGCGTGGTTTGCCAGTTACCGAGCGCCAAGGAGCGGAGCGGGCTGTGAGGCGCGGAGAGGCTTCCGCTGGACGGAAAAAGCGAGCGGGGGACGAGCAGAGGGCGCGATCCGGGCTACTAGACGAGCGGCGCTCCGACCTGGGCGGCCCCGGCCGGCGCCTGGCCCCTGCGTCTGGCAGGCGGACGGCGGGTGAGCGCGGCCGCGGGGCCCCAGCGCCCCGGTGCGCCCCGGAGAGAGCGGGAGGGTGGGGAAGGGGCGAGAGCGAGGGAGGAACGGTCCTCGGGCCGGGGCGGGGGCGGCAGGAGACGGGGCCCGACCCGATGCGGGGTCCGAGCCGGGCCACGAGAAACTTTGCCGGGGCGGGAAGAGCTGGGTGCGTGGAGGGGGCGGCAAACTTGTCAGCGGGCGGGGCGCCCCGGGGATGGCGCGAGCGCCGGCGGGTGGCGTCTGTCTCTCCAGCTTCTTTGTGTCACCTCCCGGCCCCAGCCCGTCGGTCCGCCCGGTTCGAAAAGGGGCTGTGCGGGGCCCCCGCCCGGGCCCAGGCCCGGCGCTTGCTGTCGGCTGATTGTTTTCATCCCTCGCGTCACGCCTGGGCGGGAAAGATTTTGAACGCCGCGTGAGATAGACCGGCGGGAGCCGCGGCGCGGGGATAGCAGAGCCGTGGGCGGCGGAAGGCTCCAGGGACCGGTGACCCACCGGGCCGGCATACGGGGCGGGAGGGCGCGGGCTCCCGAGGGGCCGCCCGGGCGGCTCCGAGCGCCTCCGCGGGGGCGGGAAGGGGCGCAGTGGGACTGCTGGGATTATAATTCCGTTTCGATTGCTTAGGGTCTTTGTTGTCTGCAATTGCCTTTAGAGTCTGACGGTAACACCTTTTCCTCCGTAGGTAATTATTTCTTCTGTTCAAAAAGGGGCGGTCGGGGCCTTATTTGACGCAGGTGGAGAAGTCCTGGGTGACATTTCCCTTTGTGGACGCCTGTTATTTCCGAAAGTTATTATCCCCCTCCCGTGGAGGGAGAGTCTGGGCTAGACGCCAGCGGGCACGGCGTGTACAAGCACCAGCAGGTCAGAGCCGCACCGTAAAGCTTCTTTATAGCTGCTCAACACTTTGCATCGCTGTTTTTTTTTTTTTTTAATAAGTTCTTTTTTTTTATTTGAAGCAACTTTCATCTGCTTTTCTAAAAGTTCCCATGGCGCCGGGGCAGATGCTATGTGGTCGTACTGGGATGGGCTCGATCGCTTTTAGAGGTGGGGAATACAATGGAACATCCCCACCACAACCTGACGGCGTCATCACTCAGGTGCGGACCATAGAGATGTCGTAAACACCAGAGCAGAGAGTGTTTTGCTTTTATGGGATGGGATATTTGGTGTGTTTTCATACTTTAATGTATGACTCCTTCTCTGGTTTTCTTTCTGGAAAATTGCTGAGACTCCCAAGGGCTTTCCCAGAGATAATTACGGAAGGACCTTAGCCCACCAGTACACCCGCCCTCGTTTTGCACTCTCCCCAGGGGGGTGGGGCGGTGAGAGCAGGTGTAATCCTCCTTAAGGTGGAGACTGATGACTATGAAGATGTCAAAATCAATAAAAAGTGGAAATGTTTCAGTCTTTCCCCACGTGATTGAGTTAATGGGGCTTTATTATTATTATTTTTTAAATCAGAATTAAGCCAGTTTGGGTCACCTAGCTTTGTACATTAAAATTATTTTTAAAAAATATGTGTATAACTTATGTAGTTAGAAATTTTAACATTTCAGTTGCGGGATATTGCAGTAAGTTTAGAGAACTGAGTCACAATGAGATTCTCCACAGTGCCCTCACTAAGTGTGGGAGTTTAGTGTAAAAAATAGAGTTGGTCACGTTTTAATAAGGGAAAGGAGGGGAAACAATTGATTCCTGTTTCGTTATTCATTTGTTATTATCCATTAAATGTTTGAGATATAGAATTTCAAAATTTCAAGAAATCGTTTGCTCATTTATACCAACAAACTCCTGCAATTTGTCAGCCACAGTGCTCCACTCCGCGGATCTGAGTAATAAAAGTTGCCCCTTGATGCTTATTTCATGCCAGTAAATGCCTTATAGAGATTATTCTTCTGAAGTATTTATCAGGTATCTGTATGTATTGTGCTAGGTGCTGGAGTTATGATGGTCCATAAGACACTTTCTGCTTTTATCTAGCTGGGAAAATAGGCAGTAAGTAAAATATACTGCTAAACTAATTGGAGGTTTGAAAACGTAAACCAGACCCTATTGCTGTTGTATTCAAGACCCTCCAGTGGCTTTCTGTCTCCATTTGGAATGGCAAGGACCTGCCAGGAGCTCCAAGGGCTTACTTCTTTGGGTTTCCCTGCCCCCCCACCCCATTCTGTTACCTTCCTGACCTTATCTGCCACTCTCTTCCCTACTCAAGCTTCTGTAGCCAACTGGCTTCTTTGTTGTTTGAAGGCCTCTGAACTTGCTCTGCTCTGCTGCGAATGCCACTCCCACACCTGCTCAAATGGCCCCCTTTAATTCTCTACTCAATGTTAATCCTAGTTAATCTTAGTGTGCCTTCACTGAGCCCCAGACTTAACATTGTAGCCACTCTAGCAACTCCTATCCCTCCTTCCACAGTTTTTTTCTCTGCAATACTCATGACTGTCTACCATATATACATTATTTGTTTATTGTCTGTCTTTTACACACGAGATTGTACATTCCATCAGCGCTGTAGCAGAGCTATTTTGTTCACTGTTGTATTGTCAGAATTTGGGGAAGTGCCTAGCAAATAGCAGGTCCCCCCTATTTGTTAAAGGAATGATGTTGAATAGAAAGAAGGGAACGACAGGGTCCCGAGTCACAGAGTAACCAGGTGCTCCCATGCTACTGGTGAGAAGGCTTTCTGTGGAGGTGACGTGCAGGCTGAGACTTGAAGATGAGAAGGAGCTGCTCATGCTATTCTAGGCTAAGAGGTTGTGGAGAGGTGTGTGGAAGATCAAGTAGAGAGAGAGCGTGTACACAGGCCCTGCAGCAGGTGTGAAGGTCACTGTGTGGTTCTGTCAACTCACAGGTGGATGTAACTAAATGATAGAGTAGAAATTAGGTGTCATACCCTGCAGGGCCTTTTTGGAGAAATTCACATCAAATCTCATATGTACCCTGGATAGGATTTATAAAGCTGGGTGTCAGAGAGATTAAGTAACTTCCTGAGACTGTATAGTAGGTGAATGGCAGAGCCAAGCATGGGAAGACAGGTCTTCAAAGCACTTATAAATGATCACTTTGCTGAGATCAAAAGATATAGTCCCTATCCTGATGGAGCTGTGGGTTTAGTAGGCAAAAGAAGAGCCACTGCAATACACACTGCAATACAGACATGTCCTTTTGGGGCCTGTGGGATAAGTCATATTGGAAAAAAAGATATGAAATGAAATGATTTTTTCTCTTTATTTTATAAAACATTTCAGGTTAACAACTTCTTAATTAAGAAATAATGTTAAATATTAAATGCAATAGCCTGTTTTCCAAGGCTTCACTGTGTTCACTTTTCTTTTTCTTTTTTCCTTGGTAGAGTGCTGTGGTGTCATAGCTCACAGCAACCTCAAACTCTTGGGCTCATGTAATTCTCTTGCCTCAGCCTCCAGAGTGGCTGGGACGGTAGGAGCCTGCCACAGTGCTTGGCTATTTTTAGAGACCAGATCTCGCTCTGGCTGACACTGGTGTCAAACTTGTGAGCTGAAGCAATCCAACTGGCTTAGCCTCCCAGAGTCACTTTTCTTTTTAAATTTAAAGACAAAAGATTTAGGCTGGGGCACAGTGGCTCATGCCTATAATCCTAGCACTCTGGGAGGCCAAGATGGGTAGATTGCTTGAGGTCACAAGTTCCAGACCAGCTTGAGCAAAAGCAAGACCTCATCTCTGTTAAAAATAGAAAAACTGAGGCAAGAGGATCACTTGAGCCCAAGGGTTGGAGGTTGCTGTGTGTTATGACGCCACGGCACTCTACCTAGGGTGACAGTGTTAGACTCTGACTCAAAAAAAAAAAAAAAAAAGACAAAAGATTTGCTTTTACATGTACTGAGGATCTGTGTCATATATATCCTTTCCTACTTTCGCCAGAGGATTATGTCTGGAATAGGGTAAAGTCACTTATGTGTAAAGTCCGTAATTCTTCATGAAGTCGCAGGCTATTTTTTGTTACTGTTTTGTTGTGTTGCTGTTACTTTACTTTGTCTATGTTTTCCTTTTTTGTGTGTGTGTGACAGGGTCTTGCTCTGTCTCCCAGGCTGGAATGCAGTGGTGTCATATAGATTCCTTTATCCTCAAACTACTAGACTGACATGATCCTCCCACCTCAACTTCCCAAGTATCTGGGACTACAGGTGCATGCTATGTCCAACTAAGCAGAGAATGGGATCTCACTGTAGTGCCTAAGCTAGTCTCAAACTCCTTACCTCAGTCCTCCTGCCTTGGCCTCCCAAAGTACTGGGATAATAGCCACAAGCTACCACACTAGGCCTGGCCTAATGGGTTTTGAACAGCTTGAGTTATACTACAAACTTAGTATAATTGGTATACAATACGTGCACATATTTAAAGTTTGTTAAGTGTTTGACTTATATAGACCTTTGAAACCATCTCTTCCCATTTCTTCCTACTTTACCCTGAATCTTCCCTTCCTAAACAACCCGTGGCAGCTTTATGACCTCACAGATTTGTCTGTGTTTTTAGAACTTTATAGAAATGGAACCATATGTCCTCTTCATTGTTTGGCTTCTTTCACTTAGCACAGTTCATCCACATTTTTGTGTGTATCAGTAGTTCATTCCTTTTTATTGTTGAGAAGTAATCCATTGTGTTGATTACCCCATCTCATTTATCCTTTCACCCAATGATACAGTCATGTATGGATATCTGCTTTCCTTGGGTAAATATCTAAAAGGAGGCCCCAGCTCGGTAGCTCACAGCTGTACTCCAGTACTTTGGGAGGTCCAGGTGGAAAGATTACTTGTACTCAGGAGTCCTAGACCAGCCTGAGCAAGAGTGAGACCCTGTCTCTACTAAAAATGGAAAAATTAGCTGGGTATCATGATGTATACCTGTAGTCCCAGCTACTAGAGAGGCTGAGGCAGGAGGATGCCTTGAGCCAAGAGTTTGAGGTTGCTGTGAGCTAGCCTGAAGCCACTCTACTCCAGCCTGGGCAACAG